GTTGTGGGTGATAGAACTGTACCGCTTCCTTCCTTTATGCAGGCTCACTCTGATACTCCCTCCCACGCCTTCTGTAGCCTCAGGGCAGGCTGCGCGAATCAGTTGCCTGGATCTCTGGGGTCCCACAGTTGGCAATTGGAATTCCAGGCACTCTATCCTTTTAATTTTTTCTGCTTGCCCCTCCCTCACCGCTAGCTAGACAGGTTTCATTTTGACTGCAGATGGGGAGGGGAGTTGAAGGTCAGGTGCCTCTAGTTTTTATGCAGGCTCACTCTGATACTCTCTCCCCCGGAAAGCCTAGGAGAGATTTTATGCGAGTTCTCGATGTATGGGGGATGGGCTGAGTGCCACACACCTGTTTTGTTGTTGCAATCTGTCAGAGAGTGGCGGTGGATACTTCACCTTTCCAAGGTGCTTGGTGCTGATTGCCTTGGTGGAGTGTCCGCTGTGGGGGATGGGACTGTACCGCTTCCTTCCCCGTTTAAAATCCCGTACTCAGCCGGGAAGTCAGTGCGGGCTTGGCTGGCTGGATTCCACCTGATCACAGCCACGTCTCACCCTGATGCTAATTAATCACTTTCCTGGGGAGCCACACCTTCTGAAGCTACGGGGCAGGCCGCGCGAATCAGTCGGCCTAGATCTCCGGGGACCCACAGTTGGCAATTGGGATCCCAGGCACTCTATCCTTTTTATTTTTCCTGCTTGCCCCTCCCCCAGCGCTAGCTAGACAGGTTTCATTTTGGCTGAAGATGGGTAGGGGGGTTGAAGGTCAGGTCAGATTTATTATAATTTCAATAAATTTTCTGCAATGAAAAAAAGCACTTTATAATAACCTAGCGAATACGTATTTTTTTTTCATGAAAACTATTTTCTCTTCTATTTTGCATTCAAATCTTGACTGATGGTGTTCTGAGTTAATTGTTTTAACAAAATTTTTCTAAGTGCAGTTTCAATCAAGTCACATTTGCCTATTCATGAAGGTACATAAAACAAAACTGTAAGGAATTTGTTTGATTTAGATGAAGAAGGAAATGGTAACTAGATCATAACAGTGGAGATGTTTTGTACACTGGTTAGCAACTATCTAAATACAGCCATTGGTAAAAGAGTGACTTTAAATTTGAAAACATGGGGCAAATTTTGTAAAGAAGAAACAATACCCCAGGTGTTTCAGTGCCTCAATGAATATGATATAAGAGAAGTCATATAAAGAATGTCATATAACAAATATTCTAGCATCATACAAAACACAAGTTTTCCAATTTTTCTTAAACTTGTTTATAGGAGAGAGTTCTTTTTTTTTCCCATTGGTGATAGATATTCTAACTGCAATGTTACAGGTTGAATTTAATAGGTCCTGAGTTTGATAGAATCTGATTTAAATGAAGGTAACGTGGATGAACAAAAATATTGTAAACTTTTAAAATTCAGCACTTGAAATATAAAAAAAGACTTGGAAATGGGCATGTTGTGATCATTTTCCTAGAAGATTCCTATATCATTTTAAAAATATTTTTATTCGTAGATGAATAAAATACCTTTATTTTACTTTTATGTGGTTCTGAAGATTGAACCTAGTGCCTCATGCTTGCTAGGCAAGCACTTAACCACTGAGCTAAACCCCAGCCAAATATTTCTATTTCTGCTTTATCAAACATGAAATCCATATTTTGTGATAAATAATCTTTATGTAAGCAAAAGTACTTCAGATACTGTAGATACAAGCAAAATAAGACACCATCTTTAATTTTAAGAAATTTGCAGGGAAGATTAAAAATCAAACAAATACTGACCATTAAATAATATAACTTATGATACAAACT